AACAAATGGGCCACTACAAACATTTCCTTAGAAAACCCAATTAGTAAAATATACACATTAAACTAAACGGTATTGCACATGTAATCACCAATCTGTTCTTTGATATAAGATACAAACACTATTAGATATGTCAAACCTTGTAAATTTGCATAAAGAATTCAATAGCTTCAAAATCTAATCTTAGCAAACAATGCACGCGTTATTATTCTACCTTTTCTAAGCATCTGCTTTGCTTAGTAAACAGGTTCAGTTCCCGAGGGAAACAAATGTAATTCTTTAAGGTATGGAATTGTAACATTGAAAAACTAAATCTTTTTAATTTTTTTTTAAAAAGCATACCTACATCAAAGTTCTGTGACTACCTTCATTAGTTGTAAGCAATTTACTTACACAGCCAAAACAAATACACATTTTGTTTATAATTAACAAAGATAATATTATACACCCAAAATGTTAACTTGGCTCAGCTGTGGTATTCATGCTTCTGAGTCAAAGTGGAGTCGAGCTCATAATCCTGTAATCAATGCAGTTACTACACTCAGCAGCAATTACCTGCTAAATTTGTTCAGACATTTTGATGTCACAGGTGTAAGGATTAGTATAATAATCCTTGCATTTGATATAGCGCTTTTCATATCTTCTAGATGTCTCAAAGTGCTTCACAGAATGTACTGTAAAGTAAGTTGACTGTATATTTCTGGACGAAACGCAGCAGCCAATTGTGCATAGCAATTATAATAATTATTGAGAAGAAATTGCTCCGGGTTTAGTTTCTCTATCCTATTAAGCATCACATATGGATTTGAAACTGTTGAGGCTGAAAAGCTCACGTTTATCTAGTAATTCCTGATACTTCAACCTTGCAACTGAGGATCAGCTTTGTGGTGAAAAAAAGCGAGTAAGATGCTCGACTACATTGCCAAATCAGATTGTTTTAAATACCCAGAATTCATGCTGACGTTGTATGGTGCTCAATACGCTTAGGTTATTGCGCACATTTTTGTTTGCAGCAAAATACGGGGGCCGTCCAAGAAATAATTTTGAGGAGACCACAAGGCTGATTACATCCAGTTTTAAGAGTGCTTTGAAACAAAAAGATCATGGATTATTGGGGTTAAGGAAATTAATTTTACAACTAAGGCTTGGTGGATCTCTTCAAATGGAAAATTATTTCCATTGCTCAATTTCGAGTAGGGACAAGATGAGTTCCTTTCTTTTGTGCATTGGACTCACGCTGGTTAGTTAGTTCCATTAGTATTTTAAAAATCATATTATTCTATTGCCTGCTTTTACCCAAGATGTCAAATTTTTCTACCAACAATCTGATTTTTTTTGTGAGTTGTGGATATTTTTGCCTTCAGATCCAACAACTATTCACCTCCCTTACATATTCAGCCTTCAAAAATAATCAGTATAGAACCCAAGTTTATGTAACTGTTCCAAGCTCCTTGAACTTGCCTCAAATGACTAACGTTCCTGCCAGGCATTTCAGTTTCAAAACTTAATTTCAGCAACCAATTTCAGCCATTGATGAGGCCCTTCTAAAAGACAAGTGGCCCATTTGCAGTTCACAGGTTTTTTTTTTTGTTTATACGGCTAGAAAGCTATCAACGGAAAATATTCTCAGCACCTGTGTGTCGTATATTAGTTTACAGTCATAGGTATCTATGCAGTGTGAAGTGTAATTGGATTGAACACAAATAGTCAGGAGCACCTTCAAAATGCTACCATATCAGCTCTCAAACTATATCAGCCTCACAATAGATATCTGACCATAACCTTTAAATAGGCAACCTTAGTAAATTGAAAAACTTAAAATTCTTCAGGTCCTGAATGGTTTCTGATGTAAATGGTGTGTATTGATAGTACAAAATAATTCATAAGAACACAAATGATCTATATATACATAAACCATTTTATTCACTGTGTTTTTATTCATTGCTAAGATTAATTCTATATCAAAACATTAGTGTTAGGCAATACTGTAAACTCAAACAAAACAGAAGTCACTGGGAACACTCAGTAGGTCAGCAGCATCTATGGAGAAAGGAAAGTGAGTCAATGTTTCCAATCTACGACCCTTCGTCAGAACTGAGGCACGTTGGGAGGGAGCAGCTTTTAAGGACTAACAGAAAGGGGGGAAGCAGGGCAAGGAAGGCGAAGGAGAAATGGGGTAAAATGACATTCAGCCGTAGCAGTTCCTGTGGTCCTTTAAGTATAACAATCTTCTGGTCTTTGGACTGTAGCTGAAGTCAAAAGTATAAATTAGGTTTTCTCTGGAGCACAGTAAATAAGGCTGCAGTATTCAGTCAGTATAGGGCTTGCAAGTTAAATTATTGATCAGAAGTACAATGCAAGAATTATTATTAATATGTTGACGTTAATAAACTCAGATGTGTTCTATCTCTAATCTTGGACAAGGTCTCTCTTCAAATACTTATTAAATTCCTTTTTATGCGTTATTGTGGTCTCCACGTCATTAGCCATTTGTGATAAAGCATTACATGTTATAATAAACCCCATTTACCTGTTATAATAGCATCTTTGCATATTACATTGAGTACCTTAACTCTATCAGTGCCTAAACAAAATATTCCTATCCATTTTTTCCTTCTTAGTTATTCCAGTTATACTATAATATTTACCACACAGAAGAGAGTGAATGTACAAACACTAACTCTAAACAGTCTTACTGGGAAACATACAGACACTGCACAATATCTCTTCATTTCATACAATATATAGTAATTCTATTTTGAGATAGAGTGGGTGTTCCCTTCATAAAATGGAGAGAAAAGTGAATTGGAATCACTACAAAAGTATCATTGCATTGTTGTATGTTGCTACCCGGGTAAACAATTCAATAGCCTTCTTGCATATACTGCCAATCTGCGCAGAGTTCATGAAAGTACACCATGAAATAATCTATTCAATATCTAGCATGAATTGTATATTGGTTTGTTTCAGCCAGTAAAATAGTTATCATTATTGGATTAATCATACAAGTGAAAACTGATTGGGTCACAGCTCACAATAACACCGTACTGCCAAAAAAATAACTGTACAGGATAGGTCACTGTTTGTTTCACACACAATGTATTTTATATTACATGAATTTCTCAGAGGTGTTCTCAAGCAATAAATATATATTGGACTAAGATCAATTTAATAAAGGACTTTATATCTTTATTCCCCCCCCCACAAAACATGACTGCACTTCACATGTATCCTAAGAAGTGTTTTGTCGCGTCTTCCCAATTTGAAAAGTGCAATGTTACATAGAATATACAGCACAGAAACGGGCCATTCGACCCAACTGATCTATGCCGGCGTTTATGAGACTCCTTCTACCCTTCCTCAACTAAGCCTATCAGCATACCCTTCCATTCCTTTCTCCTTATCTAGCTTCCCCTTAAATACATCTACGCTATTCACCTCAACTATTCCTTGTGGGAGCATGTTCCACATTCCCACTACTCTCAGAGTAAGGAAGTTTCTTCTGACTTCCTTATTTGATTTACTGGTGACTATTTTATATTGATGGCCCCTGGTTTTGGTCTCCCTCACAAGTGGAAACACCTTCCCTATGTCTACCCTATCAAAACCTTTCATCATTTTAAAGACCTCTATCAGGTCACCCCTCTCTTTTCAATAGAAGAGTGCAAGCTTATTCAGCCTTTTCTGATAGGTATAACCTCGCAGTTTCGGTATCATCCTTGTAAATCTCTTTTGCACCTTCTCCAGTGGCTTTATATCCTTTCCAGAATATGGGGACCAGAACTGTACACAAGTACTCCAAGTGTGGATTAACTAAGAATCGATATAAGTTTAGCATAACTTCCCTGCTTTTCATTTCTACCCCTCTAGAAATGAACCCCAATGCCTGTTTTTTTATTATTATTAACCTGTGTCGCTACTTTTAGCAATTTGTGTATCTGTACCCCTAAATCCCTTTGCTCCTCTACCCTATTTAGATTCTTACTTTCCAGGCAGTATGTGACCTCCTTATTCCTCCTACCAAAATGTACACCTCACACTTATCGATATTGAAATTCATTTGCGAATTAAATGCCCATTCAGCATGTTTATTAATGTCTTGTTGTAGTTTGTTGCAGTCCTCATTGCACTACACTCCCCAATGTGGAGTCCTGTAGCTCAGTGGTTAGAGCACTCGCTTTGCAAGTGAGAGATCTGAGTTCAATTCCAGGCAGAGCGAAACCTTGGGCAAGTTTCCTTACTCCACACAGAGTCTAATAATAATCCCTCCAAAACCAAAACCAATAATAAATTGGTCATTTTCAATCTACGACTGTTTTTTTGGGACATTGCTGTGCGCAATTGGCTGCCGCGTTCGCCCACAAATACACAGTCAATTCACTTTACAGTGTGTTCTGTGAAGTGCTTTGGGACGTTCTCCCGACGTGAAAAGCGCTCTATCAAATGCAGGGATTATTATTATTATTATTAAGCTCACAGTTCAGGCAGACATTCGAACGCAGCGCTGGGGGTGCACGGGATTGTTGGAGGTGCTGTTCTTTGAATGAGACACTAAACCAATGTCCCGCTTGCCCGTTTCGGTGAATGCTAATGATCCTATGGCACAACTTCTAAAGAGAAGGGAATATCTCCTAATGTCCTGGCCATCAACCAACCACCCCCCCCCGAAACCCCTCCCAAATAAAACTGATTTAATTCACTTCATGGCGATGGGACAGGGAGGGCTGAGCAGAAATTGGCTGCCACTTTCCCCTACAAAAAACACAACAGTAAAAGCCCGTGAGGCTTTTTGTGACACCTCTTCCCAAGGCGAAGGGGCGATCTACATCAGGTGCAAAGGGATTATGACATTGACCCGTTTCCCCTTCACGGTTCACGGAAGACTTGCGTGAGAGTCCCACTCGCCGGAGAAAAAGCCCTCTCACGAGAAGGCGTTGAAACGCGAGTGCCACCTGAGTGCTGTTTCAGCGAGTGATGCCCCGACCCCGACTTCAGTTACTTACAATAGAGTTTTTCATCATGGCTTTCACTGTGAAACCTTCAGTGACTCTATGGTCCTTCTTGTTTTTGCTACACACGTCGGCTACGAGTTTCGCTGTATCCTTTTCTACCGGGTAAGCGCCTGGCATTTTCCGGGGCGGGTGAAGTGGTGGTGGGGTGGTGGGGGGGAAGGGGGGGGAGAGAGGGGGCTTGTTGTTGCTGTTGTTACTGTTGTTACTAAGGGGGTGTGTGTGCGGGAGAAAGATCAAGCGTGGCGCCGCCTAACTGAACAACCCCCCGCTGACGAGATCACTTTTTTTTTCTTCTCTGGGTTTGCAGCGGCGGCGGCGGCGGCGGCTCCACGGGCGGCTCGTGGTCTGCGGGGCGACCGGTTGCTATGCGACCGCCATGTAAACAGGAGGCCGTCACTTCCGGCCGCCGCGTCGGGACCCTTTGTTCGCTCTGAATTCCGGGTCCCGTCGCGTCGCGTCGCGTGACGTGACAGCGCCGCGCGCGTGCGGGGGGGGGGGCGAGGAAGGGGGAGGAGTGAGAGAGAGGACCGGGTTCACTCCCGAGTTTGCGATGGGGATGGGTGTCGCTCGGCCCCGCACACAGTGTCGACTGCAAATCAAATCGAACGAGTTTACCCCCTTTCTCTCTGGCTGCACCTCAGCCCTTCCCCCCCCAAATCTGACAGTTTTATCGTCTTCTATGTGTGTGTGTGTGTGTGTGTGTGTTATCGAAAAAAAACTTTTAGAGCGGACTCTTCGCCGTTAGCATCTCGAGCTCCGCGCACAGAGGGTGACTTAATACTACGGCCTCGCGCCCGCGCCCTCTTCGCCTAACGGTCGCTCCTCGCGCTGTCCCCCTCCCCCCCACCCGCATTAACGGCCGCTCCGCGCGCTGCTCAACTGCCGAATAGGGGGCCGCGCAGGCGCATTGTGCCCGCGGCCTTCAGGTCGTCCCATCACAAGGTTTCGAAGCGGTGGGGGGGAGGGGACTCAACTCCGCCCTCCGCTAACAAGACCCTCCCGTACAGACAGACAGACAGACCGACCGACCTTCCCGATCCGCTGTATGAAATGATCGGTAAGGTGACTCCACAAATACAGCTCGCTTTGCTAAGTCAAGTGTGGGTACAGACGGCGACTGTGCGGTGCACTGTGGGGTTGGCGGTGTCGGTCGGTCGGTGCCCCGGAATCGTTGACGAGTCACGCACAGTGGGGACGCAGTTGCCTTTTTTTTTAAAAAAAATGCTTTTAACACCTCCTATACACATTAAAAAAAAATAGGCTTCATATCACCGGACAAGGATTTTACCATTGTTTTATTTGTTTATGTTGGTATTTAATGTAATTGATTTATCAGTCTTATTATTTATTTTATAAAAAGAAAAAAAAATTGCTGGTTCCTCCCCGGCGGGGAATTGAACCCCGGTCTCCCGCGTGACAGGCGGGGATACTCACCACTATACTACCGAGGATTCAGCTGGTGGGGACGCACCAGTAGCAGCTCATGAAGCAATCTGTGGGCACAGTGTTTCCCGGGGGAGGGGTGGAGTTACCCACTTTCTGCTCCAGGTTGGGAATTCACACTGTGGCGATGTGCTGTTTGTGGGAAATTGTGGGATTTACTTCACTGATCCAGAAGAGAAAGCGAGAAGTTCCCCGAACGGAGTTCCACTGGTCGTTCATAGCTTTTAAGGATATTGTTAGTCTGTCTGTGGCGAAGTTCTTCCCCACGGGGAGGATTTATCATAATGATAATAATAATAATAATAATCCTTTTGCATTTGATATAGCGCTTTTCACGTCGGGAGGACGTCCCAAAGCGCTTCACAGAACACACTGTAAAGTGGATTGACTGTATATTTGTGGGCGAACGCGGCAGCCAATTGCGCACAGCAATGTCCCACAAACAGTCGTAGATTGAAAATGACCAATTTATTATTGTTTTTTGTTTTGGAGGGATTATTATTAGGCTCTGTGTGGAGTAAGGAAACTTGCCCAAGGTTTCACCCTCTGCCTGGAAATGAACTCAGGTCTCTCACTTGCAAATATATATATATATATATATAATATAGGGTTGTGAGTGAGTGAGCGGCTGCTGAAGTGGATCGATAGCATCAATCCAAAAAAGGAACTTGAGTTAGAAACAGCTCAATAAAAGCAATAATACTTGCATTTGATATAGCAGCTGATCATGTTGTTATTATTACTTATCAGCAGTGACCCACAAAGAGCCGTGGATGGGGTGACCAAATTTTTTTTGAAAAAAATGGGTTGTAAGGAAATAGTTGGATATCTTGTTGATCGGCGGGACGTCTTCGACGCCTGCGAAAGTTCCTCACGGTGCTTAATTTAAGCCGTCCTGAGAGTTCCAAGCGTCTCACCTACATGTGGAAATTCCCATGTTTGAAATGCAACGCGTACTCTCTCCCAGCAGGAACAAATCCTGCGTACCTAATTCTGGAGACTGTTAGGTGCAGGTTGGCAAGAGCCAAGGCTTGGGGACCCCCAGAGTTTGTGCGCAGGTTCTGACGAAGTTTGACCAGCTGCAAAAGCCCAAAGCTGGGCTAAGGGCTCAGGCTTGCAGGGTGAATAGGAGCCGAGTAGAAAGAATCCCCGACCCGTCTGCCCTTCCGGGTTCTACCGATGAGCCGGGATGGCTGTTGTGTCCGCAGTGCCCTGGAGTACTGCAGACCCCAGTGGTTCAGAAACCGAGACCACCGCAGAGGATTGCCTTGATTCAGACATTCCGCTGTCGAGCACGTCACCACCCAGTCCAACTCCAAAGAGACCCTGCGGGGCCTCCTCAAGGAAAAGAGTTGAAAGTGGGTTTAATTGGGGGAGGGGGGGAAGATAATACTGTCTTATTACCTTTTGCTCGAAGGATTCAAACAATTACAATGCCGGTACTGGCATTTTTTAGAACTGAAAAACACTGGTGCCGAAAAAAAGCTGGTAAATTCTGGTACCAGCATTGTAATGACATTTAGCTGAAAATTTGAGCTCGGCCGGACTAGATCTCTCGACCCCATTGGTTCAGCCATCCGGGATTGCAGCGTTTAGCGATTCACCTGATAGTGGCACTGACTGGATGGGCTGAATAGCCTTACTCTTCATTATCTGCAGCAGCAGAACAGCCCAAGAGGGGAACAAAATTTTAGATTGGCAGGTCTATGGGATGAGGTTCAACATTTCAAATATCTGCAAACAGGTGGGGAATATTTTCTTTTTTAAAAAAAAGGAATGAAGGATTACTCTCAGAATATTTATTTTTATGCCCCCACTGAACATTGGAATGTTAACATTATCAGAGCAGTGGTGTAAATGTCAGGACAAGAACCAGAAAGTGTTGTTTTTTGTTATTCATAATAAAAATGATGTAATGCTACATTTTGTTGTTCTCTGTGACATTGTGCCTTGTCTTTGAAAACAAACAAAACAGAGGCTTGCAAAACATTGGATGATAAAGCCAGTGTTCATTTAAAGAATACCAATTGCAGGAAATGAAACCACCATTGTAATTGTGTAATACATATCCTCTGTCTTATTTTCTATTAAGCAATGATAGAGAATCAGTCTCTTGTTAATCCTTCTGTAAAGCTGTCATCGCGCAACAACAGGTGGCATGTTCGGGCCATTAATAATCACTATAATAATACCCATCATACATTAAAACATTTCCAACTAGAGTATATCCATTAATAGAAATAGATGTAATTCCTATCCTTGATTCTCATTCATGGTTTATATCAGGTTTATAACTGAACCCGTTTATGTAATTATATAGTTATCACTCCTAGGCATCCATTGCTCTGTTTACGTTGCAATACTTTAGTTGGACTCTGCCTACTGAATGGGTCAGAACTCACATTATTTTGTACAAGTATTCAATTAACCTCTGGTAAGGTTAAACGGGAATTTGCTAAACATAGAAGTGAGATCCTGGAAATCACTCCTACATTTCCGTGTTTTTCACACAAAATAATATGTACTTTTTTTAAATTTAATTTGAGGCTTTTGTTTTGCCGATGGGAACTCAAGTGCGTTTCATGTAGTTGATATGATGATGCCCGTACAATTGAAATGTCAAACTGGATCAAGTAGTCATTGTATCAGAAAACAAGAGACAAGACATGGGCGTGGATTCAGAATTGGCTGAAGGGAAGAAAGCAGAGGGTCTTCGTTAGGGGAGCAGTCAAAATGGGAGAGGTATTAAGCAGGGTGCCTAAGGGATTTGCACTGGTATTCCTCTCATTCCTCAGATATATTAATGAACTAGATTTGCAGACCCAGTGTAAGATAATTAAATTTGCAAATGACACCAAGTTGGGGGAGCTGTGGAATCAGAGAAGACAGCAAAGTTCCTACAAAGAGAGCTTGACAGGGCATGTACATAGGCTAATAACTGGCAAATGAAGTTCAATACAGATAAATGCAAGGATACATACAATCCAAGAATAGAAAACACAAATACTCCATGGATGGGATTGAATTTGCCAAGGGGGAAGCTGAAACAGATCTAAATTAATAAATCTAATTTATTACCTGGGCCAACAGAAAATTATGGAAATATTTTCCAAAAATTGTGGGGCATTTAACAAATTTTGTGTGAAATTGCAGATAGATTTTGTATTTTTTGCAGGAAATTGGAGAGGGTTGATTCGTGTTATTGAGAGGCGCATTTTGTGAAACAACCATGTCTGTATGTCTATATTAAAACTATAGACATCTTTCCTGAAAATATAGTTACATTAAAAATACTAAAAATATTTATTTGAATAGTACAGTACCGACCAGGAATTTGTTGCAGGAGCTCAGTTTAAGTTGGGTGTCGAGCAAATAGATGGCAATAGTGTGACAGCTGCTATTTCTATCGCAGTTCAATCACTAGCAGGTGAAGCCGGTTTCCTGCTCGAGCCGCTTCCGCGATCCCAACACTCACTGCGCCGCTTACGCGCGACTGGAGCTGTTTCGCCCACAGAGCATTTGTAGAGTTGAGCAAACAGGGTGCAGAGGCGCGGGGCCTAGCACACTGTTTTTTACAGTTTAGTAGGGGAGGGAGGTGTTTGCAGCAGAACCCAAGACGTCGTCCGGCATAGAGGGCGCTATATAAATCCAAGTTGTTGTTGTAGTGAAGGAGAGTATTTGTAGCGAGTTCCGGGGAAAAAGGGTCAAAACAGTGGAAGACGTAAATGAAAAAGACAAACAGGATGCTGGTCAAAATTGCTAAATCAATCGAGATTAGATCCCCAGACATCATACTGTACAGTCAGACTGCAACTTGAAGACCGCATACAATTATAGTCACCGGGATATAAGGGGACTAAACTACTCTTTCGATCTGCTGCTGGCTATCATATGTATGCCCCCTTATTTTGGACTCACCAACAAGTGGAAACAGCATTAAATGTCTACCTTATCAAATCCTTCCCATAATTTTAAACATCTCTATCAGGTCCCTTCTCAATTGCCTCATCTCCAGAGAGGAAAGCTCTAACCAATCCAATCTTTCTTGATAGCTATATCCCCACATCTCTGCTAATAATATGGTAAATCTACACTACACTCTCTCCAATGTTACAGTATCTTTCCATTGTTATATTTATTGTGGACATATTCTATGTTGCAGTATGCTGCCATTCAATTTTGTAATATTTCATGCTATAATTGGTCATAGACGTTCACTGTATGATCTATAATATGTAAGATACCTGTAGTATTAAGGCTACTGTACTGTGGTCTCAGTGAGTTTGGATAGTCCTCTTTGTTCTGATGTGTTATAAAAGAGGAAAGAAATTGGACCTTAGGAAATCAGTACTAAATTAAAGTAATATGGATATCAATTCTGGATCAAAATTCTGTTCAACAAATGATTGGTTGTGTGGAGAAAAGTGGTCTGATTTTGGTAAGGCCACCCTGGGTAGGCTGTCAGGGCTGCTTGAGGGAGAAGCTCGAACAAGAAATAGAACAATGGTTTCAGACCCAAGAAGAACTAATGATGTGTTACAGACGTTACAGAGGATGCTTGTGGAAAAGGAATAGGAGAGTGAAAATGCAACATTCAAATGTAATATTCATAAC